TGCTAAGGTTTTGTGACTACCTTCTAATAATTAAGGATAGCCTTTTTGGGTAAAGATTTGCATATCTGTCAACCATTCCTTATAGATAAGATATCAAATCCCCTCACCTTCCTGTCTGCCTGCCTTCTAAATTTCATACAATTTAGCATAATCCTATACTAGAGTAAAAGTAATTCTACTGCAGTGGGATGGTGTGGACGTGTAACATAGTGGTTTAGATCATGTGCTATGACATCAGAGACTTGAATTTGAGTCTCACCCCTGCCTGTTTTAGCCTTGTGATCTTGGGAAAGTGTTTTAGCCTCTTCAAGATTTCTTTGCCTCATGTTTTAAATGAGGTTATAAAACCTACTCCACATGTTTCTGTTGGAGGGTGGTGCTAGAGAGAGAGAATAAAAAACAGCTATTTGAAGTGCAGTCCAATCTTTAGACTTCTCCTCCTTGCCAAACAGATGAACAGTTGCCCCAAATCCCCACTTGCTCCCACACCCTCTGCAGAAGTCTGAGGATGTGTTTTCTGGAGAAGGCAGATGGTGGGTCTCTGAAATGAGAGATCTCAGGTACAGTGGAGAGCGTGGGTACCGAAACAACCGCTACAGCATTAAACGAGCGTGCGCAAACAAATGCTGAATGCTGGAAACCCAGCCCCTTTCCCTGCTAGACTGCAGCTCCCTGGGAACCACATCTTCATTTCCTAGGGAGGAGGTAGGAAAACTATTCTCACAAGAGCCTAAGCCCCTTGGGGGAAAGAACTAAAGATACTGACGTTAGAAGTTCCCCAACCAGTGATCCACCCAAATGACCGGACATTGAAGTTCAAAGCTGGCAGGTCCCACACTCACACTCAGAGCTTCCAGTCAGCCTTGTAATCCTCCCTTCTTAATCATAAGTGGAAAGCAGGGAGCACCAACACCTGAACCACATTCCTAACATGGAACATGAGACAGGAGATAAGAGAACATGTTGCATCTATGAAACACAAACAGGGTGTTACAGAAAGAATTCCTGAGAACCAAAAAAAAATAGCTCTTGGAAATTAAAAATGTAATAGCAGAAATTAAGTCAGTGGTAGGATTGCAAGCTAAAGTTGATAAAATATCTGAGGAAGTAGAACACAAAGATGACGGGGGTAGGGAAAGTGGGAGAGAAAAATAAGAAGATTAGGGGACTAGTCTAGGAGATCTAACGCCTGAACCAGAGGAGGTTCAGAAAGAGAACAAGAGAACACACAGAGGAGAAAATAATTAGTTACAGCATTCAAGGAAAATTTCTAAAGCTGAAGGAAATGAGTTCCCTGATTAAAAGTCAGTTGACTTTCAGTTGACCTCCATGAATGAAAGTAGTACCCCGCAGGGGCAAATGGAGAAGCTTCAGAAAGCTGGGGACAAGAGAAAGTTCTATAATACTTCAGAGATAAACCACATTATGTATGATGAATGAGAATTCGAACGACTCCAACTCCTGAACGGCAATACTGGAATCAAGATGACAGTGGAATTTTGTCTTTAAAATTCTGAAAGAAAAGGGTTTCCAACCTAGAATTCTTTATCTACCCAAACTGTCATTAAGCCTAAAAGTAGGATACAGACATTTACCTTTTTTTAAGGGTAGAATTTAATCTTTATTTACAGGCCACTACAAGATATGAAATTCTACATAGAAATAAGAAACCCATTGAGAGGAGAAGCTTCATACAGTATGTACAGTTAGGAACTTGTTCAAGTGTAGTTTTGTTGTAAAAAGCATTATAACAACAAACCACATTGAAAAAGAGTTCTTAGTAGAGAAACAAGAAGACAAACTTATACCAAACATAGTACACAACAACCTGCAAATCCCAGGAATGCCACCCTGAACTGGGAACATACAGTCTCAGAGGTGATTTCTGGCACATTTTAACCTTCCTCAGCCTCTACAGAGAAATATTTCTCAGTCAAGTTTAATGAAGCTTTGTACATACGCTCATTTTCATGGTTTTGTAGAGCTTCCATTTTATCCAAACCCCCACATTCTTCAATCATTATACCAAGCTTCCCAGTTTCACCTAGTTTCTCAGCAGCCGGATATTTGAAACGGCATCCAGAATGACCACAATAATTCTGGCATCTTTCGCAGTTAAGAGGTTCATCAGTGGTTCTGTTGCACCACAGTGAATGACCTGTACAATCTGTTCAACTGTTCTACCACTTCTCCTCCTGTGTCTTTAAAGCCTGCCTTTGAGAAAACACCAGTGAGGATTGGGACCAGTCCATGATTCACGACTTGCGATGTCTGGTCCTGGTGGCCAGCTGTGACGCTTGACATTGTCCATGTAGCTTCTTTCTGAATGTTAGTTTTGGAGTTGGTTAGCAGACTGGGAAAGACAGCAAGTGCTCCTGCATCTATTACAACCTGAGTCTTTTCATCTGTCCAGTGACAATATTTCCTACAGCTCTTAGGGCAGGAGTCACGATTAGCAAATCATTAGCTCCTAGGAGCTTCACAGTTGGGGCACAACTCCTGTTTTCATGACCATTTCAATCTGTTTGGATGATTGGTGAGGTAAGAAATGGCCCAGCGGCTATCTGCTAATACTTCTAAATCATTGTGATGCAGGAGACGAATTAAGTAGGAAGAATCTGCTCAACAGCATCTAACGGGGTGCAGGATTCTTATTGCAACAAAAGCCTAAAAGTGTCCAAGTAAGAGTACCTAAGTAACCCACATGCTAAAGATGATGTATCAGGAACTGCAAGAAGAGCCAACAGTGGGCCACCTGCCCCATGCTTGACAACCAAGTCTCAGAAAAGTGAACCATCACCTGCGACGTTTCCTTGAGCCCATATAGCTTGTTCACTGACGTGAGAGTGGGGAGATGCCAACAGAAATGAATGCTGGGATAGCAGCTCATCTGATGCAGCCTTGGTCTGTTCCGATGTCCCAGAAGCAGCGTTCATGAGGCCCAAACAGATTCACACTGAACGGGACTGCAATTGGTTCTGCCCAAAGACACAAATTTTGGAATCACACCAGCCCAAATTATGTTGTCTATGCCTGGCTGACTGTCCCTAGAAGGCAGTTTCCTCTTCATTTGAGTAGCTTGGAGTTGGCTTTCCAAATTGTTGCTTTTATGCCCTTGATAGTGTCCTCACAGACCAGTTTACAGCACCCTGGCTGTTGCGGTTCTCCCGTGGTGAAGTAGTACCATCGGGAAACAAGCAGACAGGTCTCCTTTTCAGCATCTGGTCCTTCTTAGCTTTCCTCAGCTCCACGTTAATTCTACTTGGTGACGCCTCATGTCTTCCTTCTTTCCCCTTGGTCTTGAATCTCTTAAGGCGGGCAGCTGGTGAGTCCGCTTTCTCGTTGTTGGATATGGTTATGACAGAGGAAGAAAGCTACGCAGCCGGCTCAGGCCTTCACAGGATGCGGTGCGGGATGCACAGGCTAAGGTTTGGTTGCTCTGAAAATATCCACCACGGATCAGCCTGAAGATTGTGGCTGGAATATAGACATTTCCAAACATGCAAGTTCTCAGAACTTTCTCTTCTGCACCCTTTTCCAGTGCCTGCTGGAGAATGTGCTACTCCAAAGTGAGAGTAAACCAAGAAAGAGAAATACACAGGGTAGAGAAAACGGGAGAGCTGACACGGGAGGATGGCGAAGGGACATGTCAGATGACAGATCTCTGTGATCCAGACGCGCATGCATGTAGTTGAGAATGTAGCAGTGTCACTCAGGATGCAGATATGCTGAGCTTTTGTCATTAGCCTGCCGACTACCATCAGACCCTTTTCAATCCCAGGACAGGCTGTCTGGATAAGCTGACCTAGATTCTCGAGTGTACTCGTCTCCTCTTGACCGTGTGCTGATGAAGTTCCTACTTTCCTTCCATATCCTGCTACTGCATCAGCTGAAAGTACTCATTTTACCCCAAAAAGTTCCGTGATTGGAATTTTTCCTGAGAACTAGAGAGCTTTGAAGCAGAAAATAGAAACCGCCTACCCCAGCCATAATTGTTACAAGAGGTCCAATTTGGTTTAGAGGGGCGTGGATATATAAAGGAAATAAAATAATATAGGAAGATAAGTCATGTGTGCTAAGTGGTAAACGCTGATTTCCCTGTTCTATGACTTTAGGGAATAAGTTGTTGTTTTTTAATTTAAGTCCAAGGAGACAAGTTCTGTGTCCAAGAAATTTGGAGAAATACTTGAGTAAATTACTGTGCTAATGGACATTGTTAACCTCCCAATGGGAAGCCCAGGATGAGCCACCCGTCTGCTCTGACTTGGAAGCCCATTTTCACGAGCATCTTTTCACACCATCAGGAACACAGTACTCCTTGGACATAGTTCGGGCAATAATGAGTTAGAATGAAATGTGAAAAAAGAGATTTAATATGCTTTTGCCTGAAAGTTAAAATGTTATTAAATCTTTAATTTGATGGAAAATAAGTTCAGAATGCTTTTTATTTTATATATAGCTTCTTGGTGGAAAAACGAATTGTATACGTTGCTAGTGTTTCAGATCTCAGATGCACTGGGCTTCAGTCTCAACTATATTTAACTATTGAGAAAAAATTAGTTTCACAACTTTTTGTAGTTGGTTGTTCATTTTGCCATAGTACTCTCTGTAGGAAAAAAAATGGAGCAGGAATCTAAGTTGCATGTTTCTCAGCCTCTCTATCTTAATTGCCAACTTAAAATGCCACCAGTAGAACGGGATGGAATATTTCACTTTTGTGCTCTCTCTGATAAGTGGAGTATAAAAACATGTTAGTCAGGATCTGAGAGTGAAGAGGAATATTGATCATTTTATTTTAGTTTCATTTAGAAAATCTTCAGATTCTCTCTATATCCTGCTTTGGGTTTATTTAGGTTTATTATGATTATTTAGCGTATAAAATTCTGAGCAGTGTATTTATGTTGAGGCCTTTCAGATGGGATTTTACACTGTGAAATTGCTTTAGCTAGTGTTCACACTCGAATGTTGCATAATCTTTCTCTCTCATTTATACATTTTAGTTTCAACCACCTCTGAGGGAACATCCTTTTCTACTCTGTCCATGTCATCTCCTGACTCAGCCTCTCCAGAAAAATCTGCTCCTCTCTTACCCCCGATTTTGGCTGGACCTTCCTATTGGACTCTGTCCCAACAACAGTCTTCTTCTGCCTCCTTTAAAGATAAAGATAAAGACAAGACAGCCAGGGTTCATCGCCCCTTTGTTCCTAGGGGCCCTATGTCTTCTGATGAAGAAACTGACAACTTCAATCTCCTGGGAATTCTTCCGGATAACTCTGATTCTGCCGAAAAGAAGATAAGTCGTATTTCCAGCAGTGATTGGGTAGAGTTTTCCACCCAAAATGTAGACCATTTCCCCTCTATGTCCTGTTCTAGTTTTCAGACAACCAAAGGCCTGCCTCGGGAGCCTGAAGGAAACAGTTCCATTCAGGGTCTCCTGGGGGAGGTAAAAAATGCAATAGTCAAATTACATGAAGATCTGAGTATGGTGATACAAGAACTTGGTGTCATCAACAGCCATCTGGTAAGCATGAGTGTGAACAGCCCACAGCTCAGCACAACTTCACAGTGTCCCCAGTCTTCCGAGGGGAGCTCAGATCAAATCGAATCGTCTGGTAGCCATTTCTGATAGAGCTCATATGGTTCCGCTGCCCAAAAACTGAGTTAACCTGTTACAGATTCTCATTACTATGGCAAAAATAGAGTGATGGTTTGATTTTCTTTGTCAGGTTTATTAGCAAGTATCTTTCACATCAGTAAATTCATTTGGGTGGTTTATTTTTTAAAACAGAAAAGGTATCGCCTTTGATAATATTTTCAGATTTAGATATTAGTTCATTTGAAACCGAAGAGAATTTCCTTCTTCCATGCTCGGTACTTTAAATCAAAATACACTAAGCATTAGTGAGAGCTGTGGTGAGACCTCAGATGGAAATGGCTCTTTTAGAGCTTGGGATTAGCTGGCAGCAAGAAGCCCTTTATTTTCACCTGTGTTGAGTGTCATTGTTAACAAGCCTTTGCCCTGAGTTAGGAAGATTTAGTCTGGGGTACATGTTTCACACGTTCTCATGCCAGGTTTCTGGTTCTGCAAACCAGGTGCCAGAATCTTCCCCTTCGTGTGGATGCCACGTGGGTTGGGTGTTAAGCCGAGACAAATAGAACACGGAACAGTTGCTTTTATTGTTAATGTACATTGCAAAGTGAATTCAAATCCATACTCTTTTTTTCTTGTATTTTTAAAAATAAATTTGATATTTTTCATCTTATAGTATACTTTTAATTCATTAAAACATCCTTTCAAATGGAAATGTCTCAATTATTATATTTATGGATAGAATGATCTACTTTAGGGATTACAGACCAATGCTTCTCAACCCTGCTGCACATGAGAATCACTGGAGACATGTTTATTTTTTACATTTGGTTGATAGAACTGTGTAAGGGGCTGCATGTACCCATCACTCAGTTTCAACAGCTATCTATGAAAGGCTAAGATGATATCTGATTATTTTGAAGAAATATGAGATGTGTAAAAAATATTCTAATGCCTGAGTGCCACTCCTAAACCAGAACTGATTTTCATGCAAACTGAGTCAAGAACTGGAGGGAACTCTTAGTGCAAAGACTCGAAAGTGGGTGGATCTCTGGCATGTTTGAGGAATGTCGAGGAGGCTCGTGGCCAGTGGCCACTGAAGTGAGGAAAGAGGAGAGCGGGAGGAGGCTGGAGGCCAGGGAGGAAGGAGCAGGGAGTGCCAGACGGAACAAGTTCTTGAAGACCATTGTTAGAGTGTTCTAGAACACCCAGGTTAATCCAGACTTCAATTCCTCATAGGCATGGTTCATTTTCAGTTCATTCTCACTGCATAGCCATTGGGTTCAACTTTGTTGTAAGGAGCATCTCTTGCTAGACTTACACTTTGTGTGGGGTGATTTCTGTTCCTGTCACCTGTCTAGGTTATCAGAATGAGAGTTGGAATTTGTTGAACTCAACAAATGCCCTTGGGGAAAAGTGGCTCCTGTGATGATTTACCTCTGTCTTTTCAGGTCCTATTATTCGTATGACTCTGCACAGGCCCTGGGGATTCAGTGGTGAGCACAATCAGATATAGCTCCTGTCCTCACAGAGCTTGAGTTCTAGAGACATTTGGTTGATCAAATTGTTTTTCAAAAATGTAAAGGTTAATAGTTCTGGAAAGGTTATTTAGGGTTTGACCTGGCAAAGGAATTTTTAAGGAAGTAACTTTTGAGCTGAAATATGAATTCTAGGATTATTGAAGGAAGTGCCACTAATGACATGTTGGGCAAACCAACTTCTTTATGGAATGAAATAAAGCATTAAAAAGTCCTAAGGCATCTTCTGTTGGCTTTCTTCAGGCACCTGGGAGATCCCCCAGTATATTCTTAGGAGACAGGAGGATCCGGTAGCTCCTTTGTGTACTGGCTAGAACATTTCTGAGCTGCACCTTGGTAAGAGTTGAGAAGAAAAACCCTCCAGAGATAAAGCAATCCTCCCTCCCCATCCCCATCACCAAGATGTGCTGCATCAAGTGGCTTGAAATTTACTTAGAGAAACCCCACAAATATCTGAGATGACAAAAACTGTCCCTCTGTGAAACTGCCTTACTGACCTGTGCTTATTACATGCACATGGTAACTTCAGATTTTAATGAGGTTTCACATGGCTCGTGTATTTTAATTCAATGATTTGTTAATTAGCAAGCACTTACCTGAGTGCCTAGCCAACTCCATTAAGCAAATAGAACAAACTCAGCTTACCTTAGCAGTGGGTATATTCTGATTGACTGCAGTTATCTCAGATTTTAAAATACTCCATTCGCTGTTACTCTCTTACATACTTTACTTGGAACTTGAGGATCTTATAAGGCAGTTATAAAAATATTTTACAGTTTACTTACTGTCAAATTGCTCGTGTGTTCATTCTTTAACTATTTAAGCAGCCCCCATTATGAGCCTGCAGTTTGCTAGACTTTGGGGACACAATCCTGACCATGATGGATGTGGTCCTGCCTCAGAGTTACAGCCTAGTGCAGACACAGAGAAATAGATGGGTAATTAGGGTGCAGTGCGTAAGTCCTAGGAATTCGGAAAGCACAGGATGGTGTGGGAGAGCCTGGCAAAGAGTGACAACCAGCAGTCAGGGCCTGCTTCCGGAGGAAATGAAGCCTAACTGAATTTGAAGCATAAGCAGGAGTTTGTCAAGCAACGGGAGTTAGGGCGGAGAGGGAATTTTCTAGGCAGCAAGAACAGCGTGTTCACAAGCAAGGAGCAAGAGAGAAGTTGGTGAGTTTGGGGATAGGATGTCCAGAAACCCAAAACCGTAGGTGAGAAACGTGGGCACCTCAGTTTCCCTTACATAGCAGCGCAGTGGGTGGTGGTGAAGTAGCCTAATAACCCAAGTCACAGAAAAGGACTGAGTGACAAGGAAGTGGGTCACGTGGAAAATAGTGTCCTAGAAATCTGGGAGTTCAAGGGTGCCCAAAATCCATTCACACACTGACTAAAATAGACTTTAAAAGGGGGTTTTGGAGACCTTGGTGACTCATCTCCCCACTGAGTTCAGTGTGACAGTGGTTTGCGCCTGGGTGTGCAAGGACCCCTCCTTTTGTGCACCCTCGCTTTAAAGAGAACAAGAATGGTGGGAACAACTGGGTGGACAGGGTCCATACTCTGTGTACTGGGGACTGGTTTGCTCGGTTTCGCTTTATTTTTAATAAGTGGGTTCTGAGATGTGATGAAGGGGTCTAGAGATGTGGAACTGAGAGGTTTTTATTTCTTGCTGAACAGCAAGTAATTTGAGGAGGCCACGCATATTATGGTTATGGCAGATGCTGTAAGCCACCTTTTATCAGCAGGCAGGCTTAGAAAAGAGTAAATTGGCTCAGAAGAAACTAGGTTTTCAGGATGATTTTGTTGGGTAATTTTGAATTCTGTTTTCTCACTGATGGTGCAGAAAGTTCTGAAAGATATGGTAATTATTGCAGAATGGTGGCCTCAGGCACTTGCAGCTATTCACTCAGTAAAATTCCATTATAAGATAACACAGTCTTTGTGTAGGACTGTGCTGCAGCTGAGAGCTCATCTCCTGTAGTGTATACACGTCGTCCTCGTACTGCGGGGCCCCCGTGGCAAGATGCACAAGTCCAAGCTCCGGGACTTGGTGATTAATTACAAATGTGCGGTGAGAGAGGGGAAGAGTGAAGGACGAGCTCCAGAAGTCTGCTCTATTACTATTACTACAACAGTCATAGTAATGGTTGGCACTTACTGGATGCTACCAATGTTCTAAGGACTTTTTTTAAATCCTCACCTGAGAATGCGCTTATTGATTTTAGAGAGAGGGGAAGGGAGAAAGAGAGAAAGAGACATCGATGTAAGAGAGAACATCTATCGGTTGCCTTCTGTATGTGTCCCAACTGGGGATGGAACCCGCAACTTAGGTATGTGCCCAGACCGAGAACCGAACCCGCAACTTTTTGGTGTACAGGACAATACTCCAACCAACTGGGCCACACAGGCCAGGGCATTCTGAGCACTTTTTAGTTCTCTCAACAACCCCACCAGGAAGGTCCTAGCATTATCACATTGCACGTGAGAAAACAGAGACTAAGAAAGGCTAAGGAGCCTGTCCAGGATCACACAGGTAGTAGTAAGGGTCAAAGCCAGACCTTGAACCCTGGTCTGTCTTGGTGTGGAGCTTGTGCTTGTAGCCACTTGGTCACACTACCTCACAATTCAGGTGGGCGGTGGTGCCATTGGTGAGGAAAGTGGGGAAGACAGGTAGACCCACTTTCTTGGGGAGCAGCTGGAGCTCCTGCCTTCTTCCCCATTCGACTGCTCTCTAGCGGGGCACCGCCTTTAATTGGGGATGATTTTCACTGGTTCTCCCCAGCAGTGGAGAAGTTTCATTTATGCACTTGAAAACCACACGGAGCAACCCAGAAACAGCTGATAGAAACTAACAAAAAATTAGTTTTTAATTCAGTACCTGTAGTAGTAGTAGTATGTTCATATTTCACTTTTCGAAAAAGGTGGGGAGCACTTAGTGTCTCTTAGCCACTAGTTTCGTTATCTCTGGCAGTAATGATGGGACATTGCTTCACTCCCACACCCCCACATAAGAGAGGCTCAGGGAGCAGCCGCCAACCCCAGAAGAGCTGGCTGCTATTAACCCTAAACCTGCCTGTTCTGCCTGTGTGCCCCCAACCCCCAAAACGCAGAAAACAGGGAGGAGTGAACTAGAAACAGTAACACGGGAATGAGCCAAGTATGGGGATAAACACACAGCTTGAAAAGCACAAAGTCAAGATAGAACAGGCAAAAGGGAGGAAGCTACCCGACAGGGCTCTAGCCCTATCCCACGGCAGAAGGACAAGCCAATAGCAGACCCACTGCCGGTGTCAGCTGGCACCTTGACAGCATTTGGAGAAGGGACAGGATGGGACACAACTGAGGAGCTGATTTGAAGCTGAAAGAGGTGGAGTAGGGTGGGCTGTTGGTCTGGGATGGAAGGCAGGGAGGCGTGGCAAGACCTGCAGGCTGGTGCCGCAGGCACACTCCCCCACCCGACTCCCGTGGGGACGGTGAAAGAGGGCACAGTTCCCAGGGCTG